GGAGACGCCGCCGCGGGGAGAGGAGGCCGCATTGGGTGGACGGACGCCTCCGGGAGTTTGGGGGGCGCGGGACCCGCCGGGACGCTGGCGGCGGCGCGTGGCCTCTGCGGACCTGGGGGCGTTGCTCCCGCCGCCCGGGCCCCCGCTTCAACGTGGGGCTTCTCCTCGGGCTGCTTTTAATTCATCAGTTCCCGTCGGCGCTGGGCGCTGGGTAGCGCGTTCACTCGCTCGGCTCTGGACACCCCACGGCTTGTCTCCCTGGTCCCCTTATCTTTGTTTTGGAAACCCCGTGAGCCGTATCCCTGGTTGCTGCCCTGGCTTCTGGTAACTGCCGGGGTGAGAGTTTGCCTCCCGATCTCCTTTTTAAAGCGTGAGAGGCGCGATCGTGGGAGCGGCCCCCTCCGTGCGCGCTCGCGGGCGCCTCGCACGCCCCTGACTTCGGGGAGGCGCCGGCCGCGGATGGAGCCGAGATCGCGTCTCCTCCGTTCGCGGGGAGGGCGGGGGACTGTTTTCTCGCCGGCCCGTTAGCAGGTCCGAGGTCGAGCAGTGTAGCTCTGGAGTTAAATAAATATAAGGGCCAGAGGTCGGAGCCGGGCGCCTGCATCCCAGTAGACCGGGAAGACGTGGGTGTTAGGTAATAGGTTGTTCTGTCTACTAGGAAGTTCTTGGTTCCAGCAGAATCAAAACTCGACCTGATTTTGATCCTTTTATTTGCAACCCCCAAATTTCTAGCGTTTGGCTGCGGCTTGAGGCTGCTGCTGCTTTTCCACTTACCATTTTACGAAGCTTCTAAAAGTGAACCAACCAGTTTCCTTATATGTGAAATTGGAACTAAAGAAACCTAGTGTTTTTGTCAAGTGCTTAAAGCTGTCCTAGTAAACGAAGTAAACAGTGCAGTCGTACATGTAAGTCGGTGTGTAAGACCTGAAGCAGTTAGAGCATCTAAAATTTCATCTTTGCAGACTTAACCTAGTAAGAGCAGCTAATAAGAAGATTGAAATCTTTTTGCCTAGATCTCAAGGCTTTCGAGAGGAGACTTACTGAATATATTCATTGTTTGCAACCTGCCACTGGACGCTGGAGAAGTAAGTGCCTCAGTGTTTTTAAGAGGAAATAAACTGACATTTGATACTCTTCTCACTGCCCAGCAATGATTTACTTTTATGTAAAACTTGAATAACAAACACTGGCTTTACTAAACCATAGATTTCCTTTTGTTTTGACAGTTTTTAACATTGTAAGCAATGCATTATAAAGAAATTTTTAAGAAAGGGAACTGGCAACCCTAAAGAAGAATCTTTGTGGTTGAATTTTTATTTTCCCATTAAAATAGATATACTTTTATTTTTTAAAAATCACAAATTTGATAACACATTTGATAAAATTTTCAGTAGCCTGTTTTGCAGTTTTACAACAAAGTTTTGTTAAAGAAAATCATATTTAACATTTACAGGGTGAGGCAAAACTAGGTTTACAGTTGTGAGTACACGAAACAGTTTATTCTTGTATTATTATTTATTTATTATTGTGTTATTTTCCATATGAACAACTGTAAACCTACTTTTGCCCCACACTGTATTTGCAAAGGTTATGAAATTACTTTTAGTGGTTTTTAACAGCATAATTGTTCTGCTTTAGAAAAAAAATTCACATTATTACTGTCCACAAATATCATGACTATTACAAAATATGATTAGAAAGAGTTATGGTTACTGCCCAGTGGAAATATAAGAAAATACAGGCAAGTGTACAAATAGCAAACAGAGTGCCTTGCTGACTTATGCTGGGAACAGTCTTAGTTTCTCGGATGTTTATTGTTGAAACTTAATTCCTGCCAAGAAAGAAGTACAACAGCACACATCAGGGACATACTGTATTTCAAGTGTAACTCAGTTTGTGGGACCAAAAGAGCACTAATGAAGGTACGGGTCTTTCCTGTCAAGATTTCTCCTGTAATTTTTATTACATTTGTTTGCAAAGTTTTATTCTGTGCTATGAAAATTCTGATTGGTCAGAATTCACGAGTAGTGATTTTCTCAGGTTCTCTGGTTTACCTACCTTGTTTCACTGCTATTGAGAATCTTTTGAAAGATCTGTGATGCTGTCCTGTCTCATACAATGCAGTGTAATGAACATGCTTTACTTTTTCTGGATCGTGGTCTCAGTGCTTACATATAATGACATCAGCATGGTTAATGTGTGTGCATAAAAGTGGGTGTATGAGGGTCCCCTCTAGTGGCTTTGCTTTTGCTTTATTTAAAATAAAAACTATTATAGTATATTTCTTATTGGAAATATAGAACTATAGGAAATTGAATTTAATCTGTTCTCAGCTGAGAACATAATTTTGAAATTTTGATTGTTACTAAATACCTAAAATGAGACTGTTTTTGTGCGACTTGTCTCTTCTAAAAGTAATTTGCCAGCACTTCTAGACACAAGGTTTTATTGCTCATTGAAGCTTGATCTCTACGTTCGAAAACTATGCATCCCAACTGAAAGACAGTAACTGTCTGGATCAGAATATTAACTAGGTCTTGGTGCCTTTTTATTATTTTTTAGTAATGCCACTTATTCCTAAATTTTACTTATGACTTATTTAGAATTTTTAAAAATAATTCTAGCTAAGTGGGCAGAGAGAAACCCTATCTAACATTTACTATCAGTAGTTTCTATCCTGACCTTCAAGTCCCTTAAAGAGAATCCAGTACTGAATGGTGATGGTGTGCTCTGTCCACACTTTCGAACACTGACCTTTGTTTAATTGAACAGCGGGCAGTCGTCCACAAGGCAAGTCCTTTAGTCAGAATTGGCAGTGCATTCATAAAGGAGTCTTTGTTCAGTTGGTTACATTGAAAAATGAGAGGGGTTTTTTTGTTGTTTTTGTTTGCTTTTTTAAATTTGAATTTACAGAATCTGCAAAATCAGCACAAAGCACAATGAAAGTTATATAACATAGAATCTTAAAGTTTTACCATCTTGGATTTATTGCTTTAATTTTGTAAGTTCTGACTAAAGTAATAAGGGGAATCGTGTTATCCTTAGTTACTAAGGTTCATGAGGTTTGGGAGAATTCCTCAAGGTTTATGGCAAGTCCCCTAATTCCTTAGACAAGTGCATTTTCCATTTAATAAAGTGCTGCTTCCTTGGCTGTCATTTATTAGTAACTGATGGTAGCACTATCAAGTATTAAGAGCTTATTCCTTACTAATTTTGTGTTTATCTTTCATCAGTGCTTCTTATAGTGGTATCTGTCTGTACAGCTACTGGTGCCTGGAACTGGTTAATAGATCCCGAGACACAAAAGGTAGAAGTTTTGTTTTAAAATCTTTAAAAGATTAAAATCTTTAATAGATACTGGTTATAGCAGTGCGTTGTTCATTTAAAGTGTTATTCAGCTGCTGCTACCTGGTACTACTAATAGTGATATTAATCACATTAAAGCATGCTTTACATTAATGTGTTTAAGAAAAACTGCTGGCTATGGTAAATTAAGTATCTTTACAGGGAAAAAGGTCTCAGAAGTCTCACTCCACTTATATTACTTCTCACTCATTTCTGAACTTGTGTGCAGCTTTTACTTGTCTCATTTGCCCATATTTTTACATTTTAGTGTAAACATTGTCTTTGTTCTGCTTTGTTCAGTTAGTATCCTCAGTGCTAGCTTTTAAAAATTATAAAACAACATTTTCCTATATGAGCTTTCTTTGTTAATACCTTTCCTCATCCCATAAAGCATTTGAGGTGGCTTTGCAGGAAACACGATAAAATAGCAAAATATAATGGTAATAAAGCCCTGGCTGGTGTGGCTCAGCTGAGTGGGTGTCTTCCTGTGCACCAAGAGGTTGTTGGTTCCATTCCCAGTCAGGGCACATGCCTGGGTTGCAGGCTCAATCCCCTGTGGGAGGCATGCAGGTGGAAGCCGATCAATGTTATGCTCTCACATCAGTGTTTCTCTCTTCTCCCTCTCTCTCTAAAAATCAATAAACTATTGTTTAAAAAATAAATGTAATAAAAAGTCAAGACTAGAAAAAAACTAATTAGACTTTGAGGTCAAAACCAGGAAAGAACCCAGGTCACTGATAGTGTAGGCCATGTAGGCTACAATTTCTAGATTGAGGCATTGATTAGTCTCTGAGTCACCTAATCAATAATGTCACAGCCAGTTCCATTGTCTTCATTGTCTATGAAGAGAACATATGTGTAAGTTGCTTAAGCTAGCAAAGCTTTATTTCCTCAGTGTTTATCTCTAAAAATATTTCCTGCCTGAAGTTTAATATAGGAAACACTGAGAGATCTCCCATTGGGCACTGTCCAGGAATATCCCTATACCAAATGCAATAACCAAGTCCATAATGGTATTTCTTGAAGCATACTTTGATGAAAGCTGATGGCATGTTTCTCAAATTCTACCTCTTCTATATTGGGTCTTAATTTCAAACTTGGGCTTTTTTATTAGAAAAGCAGTAGTCTCTAGTTTATCAGTGAGTTTTCCTCCCAGTGCAGCTTTATTTAGGTAATAATGATGTTCTAATTTTCACAAATCTTAATCTGACTTCCCTCTTTTAAGCTGTAATTAGGTAGCCTACTTTCAGTAGCTTTATTTATGACCTTTCAGGTTATACAGGAGAAAACCCTGATAGTAAGACTTTTGTCAGCAGTCTGCATAGCAATCGAGACAGCCAGGGGTTTATTTAGCATGCAGTGTCCCTGACTTGATCCACTGGGGTGGGGAGGTAAGAAGCAGGGGAGGTTGGTGATGGAATTTTATGCTAATAGAGGGTTTTGCGGCAGATAGGGGCCTCTCCTGTGTGTTCGTGTATAGAAATCTGATCTGAAGACTGCACGTGGTACTGGTCTTGAGGGGGAGAGTGAGGAAGCTGGCAGGAAGATTGAAAAAGGCCTGTCTTGGGAAATGAACCTGACTTCTAATTGGGGAAAATACAAGCTGATTTTCAGCTAGTTGAGGTCTTAATAAAACACAGAGGTAAATGTAATTTGAAATACGCCAAAACTCTGTCGTTAATATGATTTTTTAAATTAGGTGAGAATATAAGGATTAGCCTAAGGGTTGGCTATGTATATGTTAGTATTGAATAAGCTCCAGCCTGACAAGAGTTTTCAGTGGCAGTTGTGTCTGTAGCAGGAGATGCAAACCCAAAGCCAGTGGCTAGCTGGGGAGACGGCAGGAGAGGGAGTATGGTAAACTGGGCAGTGCAGGAACGCCTGACCCAAAGGGTAACTGCTGTTTGGATGCAGTCGATTGCTGCCATGGAGGAAAGAAGGCTGGTGCTGGCTGATCTAATTAAAATTAAAACATGTGCTAATTAAAATTAACACATGTCTGTGCTAACATGGCGCAGGCCACATAAAACACAGCTGGCCCGTGGGAATTAAACTGTCCTCAGGTTTTAAGAAGGCAGTCCTCTGGAATATTAATCTTTCTCAGGAGCTCATCCTTCTGGGAGCTTCTTCCTCCTGGTGTTTCCAGCCTCTCATTTCTTCATTTGACAAGTTTATTTAACCAGGACCGTGCTGGGCCATCTACCAGGTGCTTTTCCTAAGTTCAGTCGCTGTCCTGAGATGTATGCACCTGTTAGTGTGACTTGAGTGCAGAGGCCCTTAGCTTGGTTCTGTCGCTCCTGCTCGCTTACTCGCCCACCTGAGTTCTTTTTCCAGACTCTAAATATCTGTCTTCTCTCCTTCCATCTCCTTTCCTGTCTTCACCTTCCCCCCGCCCCAGCCTGATTTCAGTGCCTGGCTCCTGAACGCCTGTCCCTCTACATCCTCTTAGTGTTGTGTAGTGTCCTGTTTCCTGCTACCGACTGAGTATCCCAGATCTGATGCTCCCTTTTCTTCTCCTAAACGCCAGTTCTTTATGGATAGCTGCTAACCCTTTTCCCCTGCTGTGTCCTGTGACCATCAGAATCTCAGTAACTTCACAATCAAACTCATCACTGCTTCTGCAGAGAGGACCGGTGATGCTGGAGTTGAGTCTTATAAGGTTGTGCAGGAGTTAGCCAGGTGGAGAGGAGAGGAGGAGTATAGTAGCATAGGTACCTTTGTGGCAGGTGACACGTGGCAGAGCTGGCCCGACTCTCTTACGAAGCTTTTTAACAGGGAAGGTAACTAGATCAGGTGTGTTTTCCTTGAGATCAGATCATCTTCATTCACTCAGCAATGCTTATCAAGCACCTGTCTCTGCCACGTGCTGTGGCAGATGTTGGGGAAGGCCATGCACAGGACAGTGCCCCTGCTCTCGGCAACTTAGAGCCTGTGCTTTTTAATTGCTGCTCTCTAGGCGGGGTTCAGTACATATTTGTGGTAGGTAGTTTTTATTACAGGAGTGGATTTGCAGTGGTTCAGGTATTTGGAATGAATAGGGGGAACATTGCTGTGTTTTCTTGCTACATGGGAGATATAAAAGATGTATTATGTATTTTTATAGCACAGCAATATGGAGGACTAGCCATGTTGGAAGTCTTCAGATCCTCCTATTTTAGGTGATTAAAATGTTACATATATGTATACATGAGTGGAGAGGTAGAAATCTGTATTGTTCTAAGACTTTTAACATTTTTATATCTTGAACTCTTTTCCAGGTGTCCTTCCTCACATCGTTGTGGAACCATCCGTTTTTCACCGTTAGTTGTATCACTCTGATAGGCTTGTTCTTTGCTGGGATACACAAGAGAGTAGTTGCTCCATCAATGTATCCTTTACATGATTTTTACTCTCTGAACGAAGTTAAAGCACCTTCTCAGTGAACTAAGCGTTGTTAAAAGCTTATTCTTGAAATGATAAATTTTCCTTTGACCTCATTTATTCAGTATAGCCGCGCGATGTCGAAACGTGTTAGCAGAGTACAATATGTCTTGTGATGACGTAAGTATTCTCTTCATTTGAAAATTATAGACATGTGAAACGACTGAGATGTTTTGGCTCAAGTAAAACAGGCATTTTATTAGCAGTAATTGTCTCCATGGAATTAACTGATGGGAATACACCTTATCACATTGATTCTAAAACACTTTTTTAATATTTTAACATTATATTAGATGCATGTCTGAAATTGAGATGCATCCAATAAATCAATAGTGTTTTACAATTAAATTGGTAGAGTTGACAATAATTTTCCTTAGATGACGCAAAATAATGATGCATCTCATAATTGAAGCCATCTTAGATTCAGTGAAATACCATGATCATTATTGGCCAAAATTGGCTCAGTGGGTATTGGTTTTGTAAACTACATGCTATGATTTTTCTAATGACATTCTGCATGTAGGATCTTAAACAGTGTCCAGGTATTATGATAAGAGTGTGTCACAGTTTTGATTTGCTTATTTATAAAAGTGCCTTTACCTTCAATTTAAGAAACTTAAACAAATGATACCTATTCAGGATAGAAAATTAGAATAAAGAGCAAAAAAAGTATTAGGAAAGGAAGACAACTGGATTAGTGGAAGAAAATAAAGATTAAGCAATTCGATTTTTAAAAAAATCAGAGAATAAGGTTAGTATTTCAAATCTGAAGGGAATGTTTAAAAAGACATAGACATCCCATCATAAAAGCATTAGAAGAAAATATAGAAGAATATGTTTAGCCCTAGCCAATTTGGCTTAGTGGATAGAACATCGGCCCTCATACTGAAGGGTCCTGGGATCGATTCCAGCCAAGGGCACGGACCTCAGGTGCAGGCTCAACACCTGGCCCTGGTTGCTGCTGGAGCAGGAGGCAACCAATCGATGTGTGTCTCTCACATTGATGTTTCCCTCTCCCCCTCCCTCTTCCCCCATACTCTCTGAAAAGCAATGGAAAAAATATCTTCATGTAAGGATTAAAAAATAATAATAAAAGCATATTTTTTAAAAAACGAAGAATAATAATATGTTTATAAGCTTGGGGTATTAAAGTGCTTTTTTTGTTGTTGTGAATCCTCACCTGAGGATATTTTTTCCATTGATTTTTAGAGAGAATGGAAGGCAGGGGGAGAGACACAGAGAAAGAAACATCAATGTGAGAGAGAGATATTGATTGGGGATTGAGCCTGCAACTGAGGTATGTGCCCTTGACTGGAATTGAACCCAAGACCCTTCAGTCCACAGGCCGATGCTCTAACCACTGAGCAAACCTGGCCAGGGTTAAAAATGCTTTTTAAAACAAAACAGAAATGCCATAATGGAAGAAGTTGGATACATTTAATTGCACTAACATTTGAGGCAATGACTAGAAAAACTATTTGTAAGGTATCATATAGAGGATAGTATACAAAATAATTAAAGACCTATTAAAAATTGGTAAGAAAAAGACAAATAGTACATTTTAAAAATGGGGAAAGAAGTCATATCACAGAAGTGGAAATAGAAATGGCTAATAGACGTAGAGATGAGACAGCTTCATTTGTAATCAAGGAAAACTGAGTTTCCATTGGTGTTAATGCCAAATTGGCAAAAATGCAGCACTAATTCCAGTTCTGGAGTGAAATGGATTTTCCCACCCCCTGCTTGTTGAGAACATGCATTGGTGCAGCCATTTTGGAGGCAGTTTTTAGCATGCTAACAAAATGTGAAATGCACGTGCCTCCTGACCTAACTTTTCTCTCCATCTACGCTGGGGGGACCATCACACATGCACACTGGAGGCAGGTGCAAAGTTGGTATTGCACCACCCTTTGCAGTAGTTGTAGCCGGAAACAATTTTTACGTTTCTCTGCAGGGGTGGTAAAGGAGGCTGTGCTCTAGCCTCATCATAGGAAACCAGAAGTACATCTATAAATACAAACATGGAAGGTCTCCCAGACACAATGTTAGGTACAAAAAGTAAATTACCAAACAGTATGCCTACTGTGGTACAGCTTGTGTTTTATTTTAAAAAAAGTTTCAGTTATGAACATTTCCAAACATAAAATGACAAAGAGAAGAATATAATCAACTTGATGCACCCACTGGCCAGTGTCAACAATAATCGGCTTGTGGCTAGCTTATTTCATGTGCAGCCTGCCCACCTCCTCATCAAATTGTTTTGAAACAAATCCCAAGTGACATATTTTGCCCTCAAATATTTCAGCATGTTAGAAACATCAGATGTTTATATGTGTGAATGTAATCCATAGAAAATAATCTGAAATAATTCATACTAAAACTGGTTTCTTCTTTAAGAAGGCTAGAATTTGAGGTAGATGGAAAGGATGACTTTAGCTTACCTGGATTTGAATTTTTATAATGAGATTACATTAATCTTTGGCTTGTGTAATTTAAAATAGATTAAAACCATGAGTGAACAAATAGTGGTATATTCATACAGTAGAATACTATATATGTTATATAAAAGGTAAAGACTACTGAAACGTAGTAATTGAGTGAAACACATTGAGTAAAAGAAATAGATGCAAAAGAACATATTGTCTGATGCCATTTAAATTTTTTTGTTTTTTCAGTCCTCACCCGAGGATATTTTTTCCATTGCTTTTCAGAAAGAGTGGAAGAGGGGGCAGGGAGAGAGAGAGAAACATCGATGTGAAAGAAACACATCTATTGGTTGCCTCCTGCACTTGCCCCGACCAGGGTTGGGGATCAAGCCTGCAACTGAGGTATGTGCCCTTGGCCGGAATTGAACATGGAACCCTTCAGTCGTGGGCCGATGCTCTAACCACTGAGCAAAACTGGCCAGGGCTCCAATGCCATTTATACACAGGTCACAGGCGGGCAGAAATAATCTGTTCCGGAAGCAGTTATGTCTGTGCAGGGAGCGGGAATACTATTGACCGGAAAGGGGTGATGTGATGTCCTGTAGCTTAATCCTGGTAGTGGCTACATGGTGAATACACTTGTCAAAACTCATAAAACTGTACAAAAGATTTGATCATTTTATTCTATATAAATTATACCACAATAAAAAAGTGGAAAATTAGTATCGAAGTTTTATCAAAATACCAAGAAATCACCAAAAATTAAGTGAAAGAATCAAGAAATGACTAGAATCCTGACAACACTTTTGACCTGAGGATAATAAAATTTGTTAATTAAAACCACCTAGAATCTTACCAACCAAAGAGAGTCACCCTGTGTTATATTTTGTTTCACATTCCCTTCTGCTTTGTAAAGGAAGGTGTGTGACGGGTTTTCAACACAACCTCATGATTTAAGAGCCTTCATGTTTTGGACATGAATCGTGCAAGGTCCTGGACTTATTACCTGCATTATCTCAGTTAAGGCCTTCCATTTGTTTAGTTACATATTGTCCCATTTTATGGCTCCATCGTAATCCAACCCATATTACAAACCTTGTATGTTCTTCATTAGAACTTAACTCTACAAGGACAAGGAACTTTGTTCATTGCTGGAGTTCTAGCATTTCACACAAGGCCTGGCACACAGTAGGCAGTCCATAAATGTTGAATGAAAGCATTAATAACACTTACATGCACATCTTTACACTCGCATTTAGTTTCCTTCAGATAAATTCCTGCAAATGGAATTGTATGGATTGTGTATGTGGTTGTGAAGATGACAGTTGGCCCCACAAAGGAGTTGTAGTCACTTACACTGAAAACAAGCAGTGTTTGAGTGTCTGTTGTTCCAGCCATTGGTTTACATTTTAACTTGAGAAAATTAAAATTTACTGTTGGAAAAGTAAAATAAATAATAAATAAAATTTACTGTTGGAAAGGAGAAATGCTTTTGCCAGGTACATAGTTTTATACATTTCGCTTGGTAAGGAGCATAAATTGGTCTATACAAGCTAGGATTTTGTTTTATCTAGGGGATTGATTGGCTGATTTTTAGATAGCCAGTGGACAGGGAATTCATCAAATAAAGATTGTAGGTGTGTGTTTTAAAGTAATAAAGACTTATCCCTAGCTGGTTTGGTTAGAGTGTCAGCCCACCGACTGAAGCGTCTTAGGTTAGATTCCAGTCAAGGTCACGTAGCTCAGTTGCAGGCTCAATCCCCAGCTCTAGGTGCGAGCAGGCGATATGTTTCTCTCTCTCTCCCTTCCACCTTATCTGAAAAGCAATGGAAAAAATATCCTCAGATTAGGATTAATAAATAAATAAGGTAATAAAGACTTTGGAAGAAAGCTCCACACAGAGAAAACTTTGAAAATATAACTGTTAATTCCTTAACCTTGACTAAATATAGGGAGGTGTTCTGATGCCCTTCAAATGCCCTTTGAGGTTTATAGATAAAATGGTGGTGTTTTTAATAGACCTGTGTATTAAAAAACTTATTTCTTAATTTCGCAGACCGGAAAACTGATTTTGAAACCTAGGCCTCATGTTCAGTGACAATCTGCAGTCATTGTTACGGGACCTAACGCAGCCTTTCTTCAGAGAAGTGGGCAGCAAAAGCCATAAGGATTCCTTTTACAGTCGGATATTTGATGGTCATAGCAACAGCTGACAAGAAGTGTGCAATATTTACCCAGATAGTTTGATGATGACTCACATTATCAGTGCTTTGGTACCTTGGATTGTCTATGTATCAGTATTAGTGTCACTTTAGTACTTCAGATCCTGCAGAGATTGTTGCAGATGAAGTATGTGTGTATGTTACTAAGTTAAACTTAGAAACAGAACCTCATCCAGTTTTTATAATTATTTTTGCAAACTACTGTAAATAGCAAATCAATGCCAATGTCAAAGGAGAAAGCGTTTGTGGACTTGGTTCTCCTGCACCAGTATTTCAGAAACATCAGCTTGCCATCTCCACCGCTTTTTAAAACCAACTGTTATGTGTAGCTGTGCCTTTTCTTCTCACACTCTTTTTTAATCATAATGCAGGAAAACCAAGGGATTGGGCTTAGACTGAGGAAACTCATCTTCATTATGTTGTAAGAAATTATAGACGTTTTGAGAAACATTTTTTGTTAAACCAGATAGTGAACTTTGGCCACTATTGTGATATTTTCCTGTTCATTGTTTTCATTTAATGCTAAATTTACTTTATATTTTTAAAATAATTTTAAGAACACTCCAGAGGCTTCTGAAAATATCAGTTTAGTTATAAATTATGTATTGTCTGGGAATTTGGTAGTTATTGTTTTAGATAATTGGATTTTATGCTGTGGTCAAAGTGCTGTTACACTAGTATTGTGCAGGGGGGCGGTGCCACAATAGAGTCTACAATTCTCACTGTTTAGAGAGTGTTATTGACATACTGTGTATGCATATTAGCCACATGTACTATAATAACTCTTAAACTATTGGGATTGCTGTAAATATTTTAAAGAACTGGAGGTGCCTTTTACCTGTTTATTAGAAGATTCTGAAAAGGTTTAAATTATTTCAAGAGCAATCTTTTAAATTTCATTTGACATAAAGCTGAAAATTCAGTAACAGGACAAAAACTTTTTAACTAGGCTGCCATTTCATGTGTTCATCCTGGCTTTCATGTGTATAAGATTTTATTCTTTGAACTGTAGCAATAAAACCCTCTGCTCCTAAGAAGTCTTAAGGGGGTATTCTATATATTCTGCATTGTTTTATTTTCTGTAAATTTTGTAGGTAAATATGTGCATAAAAATAAATACTTTATATATAATTAGTGATTGGGCTTTTTCCTTGGTTTATTGTAAGTCTGTAACAAAAATTTTATAAACATACTGTGTGTCTCAGATATAGGCTAGTTCCAAATGAGACATTTTACTTTAACTCTGTCCAGTAGAGTAAATTTCAAGTAGCACTTGTACGTACCCAGTTTATTAGGCTATAAACTTTTATTATGTCTTATTCCTCATTGTCTAATAACATTTGGCTCTTAATCAGGAAATGCAGATTTTCTCAAAGTGCTTTACAAACTTGTATGGCCAGCTTCCTCCAAGAATATAAAGCTGATGAGGGATTTGCTAGGTCCTTAGACCTTTTTGGAGTTATCAGCTACTTAGAGTATTTTGATGAAAGCTGTGCATCTTCTCTCCTAGAAAGACATGCCTGTGTATATACACATACTTGGATTTCCTGGTGCTAGCCTCCTTGGAGTCACTGGTTCTGAAACTTTTGTTAAAGGTTTTTCATATCTTTATTTCTAACAGAACAATTCTTTTCCAAGCAAATCTTTGCTCTGGTTGAAATAGGCCCAAGGGTCATTGCCAAATTAGCTTCTCACCACGGCCCTCACCCTCATACCCGCTTCCACACTACAAGGAAATTATTGAGTCCAGTCCTCTAATTTTACAGGTGGGGCCGACCGTCACAGGTTTCCAAAGTGACTTTAGATCCCCATGAGTTAGTAAACACAGAAGTGGCACCAGAACCCAAGTCTCGACTCAGATTGAAAGGGTGTGTGCGTGTGTGTGTGTGTGTTGGACTTAATTCATGAGCCATTATAATGTTATGGTTAGGAATGCAGACTATGGCCAGACTGAATTTGAATCTCAGATCTGCTACTTGCAACTTGGTAAATTACATAACCTTAGTTTCCTCACTTATAAATTGGTCATAATGCTAATCTCCTAGGTAAATAACATACAGAGTGGGGCAAAAGTAGGTTTACTATTGTGAGACTTTATTCTTATATTACTATTTATTAATTATTGTATTATTTTCCATACAAACAACTGTAGACATACTTTTGCCCCACCCTGTATAGGACTGGTCAATCTTCCAGGTTTATATTGAGTATTAAACATTAATTCATGTGAAGCACTTAAACAGCATTTCGCTACAAGTCACACTGCTCAATAAATCTAGTTGTTAAATCCTAAAAGTTAAAAAAATAAAAAGGGCCTGGCTGGGCGTGGCTCAGGGGTTGAGCATTGACCTAGGATCCAGGCGATCAGGGTTTGATTCCCCGTCAGGGCACATGCCCAGGTTGTGGGCTCCATCAATGACTCTCTCATCATTGATGTTTCTATCTCTCTCTCTGCCTCTCCTTTACTCTCTGAAATCAATAAAGATATATTTAAAAAAAATAAAAAGGATCTCACTGTTACAANCTGAAATCAATAAAGATATATTTAAAAAAAATAAAAATAAAAAATAAAAAGGATCTCACTGTTACAATCTTACCCAATGTCAACATCTCAGTTGAGATAACTATGAGGGAATTCAGTTTATCTTTGGACTATGAAAACTTCTGAATAGTGGATTAAATGCCAAGAGAAAGGATATTTGTTCTCTAATGTAGTGCTTATGTGCCAGTACCTGTTCTTAGCGTCTTAAACACGTTAACATACTTAATCTTGGGGGCTGAGCATTCAGCGGTGGTGCCTGGCCTTGACCAGAATCAGACCCGGGACCCTGCAGTTCGCGGACCGACACGCTAACCACTGAGCCGACCGGTCGGGCTGCAGTGGGTGCGTTTTATTGATGTCTCCCTTTCACTGATGAGGAACCTGAGGCAGGAAGATTAAGTACCTTTTTAAGGGGCTCCACTCTAAAACCTCAACTGGGCTTTGTCTGGTCAGGGGTTGTGCCAGGCACCAGGGACGCAAAATAAAATCTTGGTTAATATTTTTTGAGCACCTACTGTACGTCAGGCTTGCTGTTAGGTGCTTTGCGTAATTTTATTTAAGCTTCACAATAAACTTGCAAGCTAGGTATCCTTAATCCCATTTTACTATTATGGAAATTAAAGGTTTGGCGAGGTAGGGTAACCCGATAACCGTCACCAGCGGGTGGAAGGCGCAGTCCATCACCCTTCAAGCCCCGCCCCCTCCTCCCGAGTACGTCCACGGGACTCCGCCCCTCCGCGGCCTGGCTCCGCCCACTCCCCCTCTAGGCCTGCGCGCCCCGAGCCAGCCTCCACCCTCCGACGCGAGGCGCGCCTGCGCACGGCCGTCCATGTGGCCCAGGTGAGCGGCCCCGGAGCCCGCGCCTCCAGCCCGGCCGCCAGCAGGGCCGCCCACCGTCTTGCGGTTGCCCTCCCCTCTCGGTGCTCCCCCGGCGCGCGTTGCCATGGGCAAGAGCAGGACGAAGCGCTTCCGGAGACCCCAGTTCTCCCCCACCGGCGACTGTCAGGCCGAGCTGGCAGCGGCGGAGAACGGGACTGAGCCAGAGGAGGACGACGGGCCGGCGGCGGAGCTGCTAGAAAAGGTGAGAC